ACCCGACTTCCTGGCTCCTCTCCCCTGCTTGCCTGTTCGCCCACCGACGATCGTGACAGAATGACGAGTCTCCGAAACAAGCTCAGCACTACCGGAGAGGTCCTCCCCATGGAGGACGAGGTGATCAGGTGGACGAACCTGTTGGATCACCACCCGGATGCCGTAGCCCACCGGCTGGTGGAGGGCTGTTGGGAGCTTCTGGATCGGAGGTTCCATACCGGCGAGCAGCAGCTGCTCCAGCAGGTGGGCGAAAACCTGCAGCAGCTGAGGGAGAGAGCGACTGTTTGGCTACCCCACCCGGGGTATGCCACCCGGGAACCGCCCCCCAACTCGCTTCCGGTCACCTTCCCGGTCTTGAGAAGGACTAACCAGAAAAAGCGCAACACTGAGCTTCACGCGGCTACGGCCGCTCAGCTTCCCCGCTGTGGGGAGCTGCCCTGGGTCCCAGAGGGTTCCGCTCTCCCCCACGCAAAGAAGAGAAGCCGTGGAAAAGGGAGGAAAGCCGACCTGAAGCTCTTCTTGGGAGCGTGCTCCCTTCTCCCCGCCTGGGATGACATCGCCTCTGCCCGCCTTGCCAGCTTCCACGGAGAGCAGCCGCCTCCATTGGAGGCTTACTGTTACCGGCCAGAGCATCTGGGGCACAGAGGCCTTCGCGCCGTGAGAGACTCTATTCCCCGGGTCTCCAAAGCCCTTAAAGGGGCAGCGCCTAGTCGCTCGGCTCCCCTCCTGACGCCCGCTCCGGATCTGTCCGCAGCACTGCCTGCTGCAGCTGCTGCAGCTGCCGCCGCTCTGCCCGCGGCACCGCCTGCTGCTGCTGCTGCTGCTGCCGCCGCTCGGCCCGCGGCACCGCCTGCTGCTGTCGCCGCCCTGCCCGCGGCACTGCTGGTCCTGCCTGACCCGCCTGTCCTGCCTGACCCGCCTGTTCTGCCTGCAGTCCTTGCAGCTGCCACCGCTCTGCCTGTGGCACTGCCCGCGGTGGCCTTGGTTGCGCCCCCTGCTGGCCGCGTGATGGCAGCGCCCGCTGCTGGCCAGGAACTGAGGGTGCCCGCTACAGCACCGCCCGAGGGCCTGACTTCGCCTCCGCCCGCAGCAGAGGAAGCCGCTCTGCCCGTGGTACCCCCTGCTGACTGCACGCCCAAAGCGCCCTCCGAGGCGCCCCCTGCTGGCCACGTGTCGGAGGCGCCCGCCGTGGCGGCCCCTGCTGGCCGCACGCCTGAGGTGCACGCCGAGGCACCCCCTGCTGGCCACGTGACTGAGGCGCCCGAGGTGCCTGCTGAGGTGCTCCCTTCTGACCTGCCTGTCTCGCCGGCGCCTGAACTGCCTGTCTCGCCTGTCCTGCCGGCGCCTGATCTGCCTGTCTCGCCTGTCCTGCCGGCCCCTGAACTGCCCGAGGTGGCCGCGGTTGCGCCCCCTGCTGGCCAAGTGACTGAGGCGCCCCCTGTTGGCCAAGTAATGGCGGCCCTGCCTGAGGCCACCTCTCCCGTCCAGCCCGCGGCCCTGCCTGAGGCCGCCTCTCCCGTCCAGCCCGCGGCCCTGCCTGAGGCCGCCTCTCCCGTCCAGCCCGCGGCCCTGCCTGAGGCCGCCTCTCCCGTCCTGCCCGCGGCCCTGCCTGAGGCCGCCTCTCCCGTCCTGCCCGCGGCCCTGCCTGAGGCCGCCTCTCCCGTCCTGCCCAAGACTCCGGCTGCACCGCCCGCGGCTCCGGCTGCACCGCCTGCGGCCACGCCCCCTGTCTTGCCCGAGCCTCCACCCTCGGGGGCCTCCCTCATGACTCCTTTGCCCTTGCCCCGACAAGACCGACGCCCCACGGGACCCCGCCTTTCGGTGTCCCGTACGGGAAGGGGACACAGGCGTCGGGCCCGGGTCCCGCCCGCCCTGCCCCCTGGCTCGCCCGTTCGGCCCCTGGCTGTGGCTCGGTGGCTGCCTGCGGGTCCTGC